TCCAATCCACTTAGGAAGTGAAAGTCCTTTATATTAATAATTCTAACTTTTATTATTTTACATATATATAGTTAATAGTTTGGTATATATTCTTTCACATTTTTCTATGTATTAGTTCTTAGTATTATTTCAGAAATGGAATCATACCATAAATGCTGTTCTGAAACTTGCTTTTCTTCTCCCAATGTATCTTGTATGTAATAATTTCTCGTTACCTACAAAATCTTGGAGAGTGGGCTATTTAAGTCACAGCTTTGATTTAGGTGGAGGGCAGCATCTGGTGATGATGAGGTCTCAAGGGCATCTATGGGAAAGCCAAGAGGAGTATGAGGGAGGCGAATGTGTTTTGAATGGGTTTTCAGCTGCGTGGATGCTGCAGTCCCCTGAGACCATGGCAGGAGCTGAGGAGGGAGACAGCACTGTGACCCAGGTGGCAGAGTCATCGCTGAGCGAGTGCAAGAACATGAGCAGCCAGAAGAGAGGAAGGCAGGGAAGCAGGCATAGAGGTTGATGGAGGGTCACAGCGGAGCAGCACAGCTGAGGCTGCCAAGGAATCAGGAGCCAGACAGGGAAGGGTCTTCTGTGTCATGTTGAGAAGCATGGTCTTTATCCCACAGGGAAGGGGGGGAACAGGGGGAGTGAAATAGGACATTTGTAAATCTGAAAGATTTTGGGGGATAAGAATGTGAAAAGCTAGAAGCATGCAGCCCAATTGGGAGACTGTTATACTGGTCTTGGAAAAGATAAGAGGGCTTGAGGAAGGGGATAAGAGAGATGTTCAAGAGGCCAGCTGGCTGGCACCTAGTCACTGATGTGTAGGGGCGAGGGAGCATCAGGGGTTGAGGATGATTCTTGGATTACTGGCTTGAGAAAAGACAGATTGGGATGACAAATAGAGGTAGAAGCAGAACAAGGAGTGCGTGTGTGTCTGTGTGTGTGTGTGTCTGTCTGTGTGTGTGTGTGCGTGTGTGTGCGTGTACACACACAGGAGGAAAAGAGATGGAAAGGAATATGATGGTATTTAATGAACATGTAATTCTAGGAGTTTGTGAAGTTAACTTTAAAAATTAAAAATTTATCCTAGATGGAAGCTGAAGTTCTGGAGATATGTCTCACTGGTACAATAAATGCCCTGTGCAAAGTAGATATTTTAAGTTTATTGACATATTTAACAAACAACAGCAACAATACCGCCACTAATCTTTTGGATTCCTTGGTTTAAAAAATATTATTATGACCAACAGCAAAACTACTGAATAAATGGATATAGTTTGATACTATTACTTAATAAATTTAAAAATAAAAATATTTAATCTGATGAACAATAGTTATTTTATATTATCCATTATTCACTTTTTCGAGTCATAATCCAAACAAGGTCCATCCTTACATTTGGTTGGTATAAGACCTCTTAATTCATATCTATTCTCTCTCTCCCTCCCCCACCATGCTATTGATTAGTTGAATAAACTAGGTCACTTTCTACAACATTTCCCACATTCTGGATTTGGCTTAATTGTATTCTTACAGAATATTCGTGTTCCTCCATTCTCTCTGTCTCCAGCAACCTAGCTTGTAGGTCTAGAGGCTTAATTAGATTTAGGTTTAGATTTTTGTCAAGAGTACTCTGTAAGTGGCGCTGTATACTGTGTCACTTCATGAGGCAGAGAGTGCCAGTTTTTTTACTCTTTTCGTGTTAAGATTGATTTAGAGGGCTCAGGTGTTGATTAAGCCATTAGAAAGTTTTCCAGCAACATCTTACCTAATTATTTTAGCATTGATGATCCTTTGTTTCATTAGGAGCTGCAAAATGGTGATTATTTTTCTGCATTTTATTAGTTGGAATTCTTCTATGAAGAATAATTTTCTTTCATCAACTATGTTGTTAACCTACAATGCAATTTATATTAAAAAAGTACAGAATAAACGGTTGGTTCTTTTCATTATTTCCAAAATAATTAGTTTGGTGCTTAAGCAAATTCCAAAGGTGACCAGTGATATTTTTTTAGTATCATTTGAGCTCAGATTTTTAAAAACTAATTCATTACAGACTTTTTTTTTCATGCTCAAATTTGTCCCATCTTTGGTGAATGGGAACTCTTTGGAGTTGCTCTGGGTTCTTGACACAACCCTAGTAGCCTTTGATAACTTTCTTGTTTTGTGGTATGATAGAATACTCCAAATTCATCTTATACATTTTGTGCTCTTGTCCTTGAATTACCCGTTTCTCCTGGGAGCTATGATTCCTTTTAGTGGTAAATGGTATTTGGAGACCACAATCTAGGTCTCTGCACTGTCATCGCTACTGGACTTATTGCCTCTGGTCTTTTTCAGTGGGCAGGTTATTTAAAAAGAGAAAATCATCATGAGCTCATACTCATATTTTCAATTTAGATTTAAGATTATAGGATTTCTTAGTATAAGAACTTCTTTTGTTTTATACTTTGTTAAATGCTGAAGTGCTTGGTTCCTAACAATGTTGATATAATTTTTAAAATAAATAAGTAATTATATTACTAATATTATGACCAACAGCAAGACTGCTTAATACGTGGTAAGATTTCTCTGCTATTTTCTGTGTTTTTATAGCATATCCTGTTGTCAAAATACTGTGTTTTAAGGTCAGTTGGAATAGTTGTTTTCTTTTTGTGGTTACATCTCCAACTTGATTTACAGCAAGGTTCATTTGTCTCAGTTTGTTTTCAGTTTCTTAAGAACTGATTTTTTTCTCTTGTTTCTTTTTGGTTTTTGATATGTAAAATACTTACATGGTTCAAAAGTCAACACTACATAGTGAGGTACCTTCACAGAAATCTTTCTTTTCATTCTTGTCTTTTTTATCCTGTTCCTTCACTCCCCCTATAGGCAACCACTCTTATTGATTTATGCATCATTTCATATTTTAGCCAGTGTATAATTTGGATAGATTCCTAGAATAGTGATTGGTTGAGTCAAACATACATGCATATATAATTTTATATCACCATATTTTTAGTTCTTTGTAACTATAATCATAGAATCAAAAATGATAATGTAGCTTCTTCCTTTTGCGGATTTTTAGCTCTTGTTATTTAATATTAATAGAAGGCTTTAAAATTTCCAAGTGAGCAGGCCTTGCTTTTTTTGTTGTTTCTTAATTTCTAGTTTTATTTATTGTGATCAGAGCATTATTTGTAATGTTTCTAGGTTATAGTACCTACTGCTGTTTTCTTTGTTCCTTAATATATAGTCAAAAATTTTTAACTGTCCTATTTGCTCTTGAGGAGGTATATTTTCTATTAGTAGGATATAGTGTTTGGTATACATATCCCTAAACCTATTTAATGCATTGTTCAAATCTTTTATGGTCTTGCTTATTTTTTGTCCACTTGACCTGTGTTGTACTGAGAGTGATATATTAAAATCTCCTATTAGTTGTGTATTTATTTTTCATTTCGTCTCCTATAATTTGTGCTTTTTCTGGAGGGGTTTTTGTGCTATTTTATGCAAGGTATTCATAACTGTTGCATCTTCATTTAGAATTAGGACTTTCAGCCCTATAAAATACTCTTCTTTGTCTAGTTGAATGATTTTTTAAAATTCTATTTTAAAATCAGAATCACAAATCAAATTAATCAAATTAATCTGATTTCAGATTAATTTTTTTGTTGTTACCACTCAGAATGGGCTCCTTGATCAAAATTACATTTGAATGTTGAGGCTGATTATGCCATTCATGCACCTAGAAGATACGAAAAGATTATTACATAATGAGGCTTTCTTGAAGAGCAGGGCAGACTCCCAAGCAGGTTCAAAAATAGCTTCAGAGAGTAGGGAGAGGAAACTGGTTTGGCGTTTATCATGTTTAGGAGCGGGGCTGTACTAAGGATCCCTGTGCAGTCTGGGCATTGTATTGTTAGAATTTCCCACAGGCACCAAAGGAGGAAATGCCTGAACTTTCTTATCAGCTTGCCCAGATGTAGGGGTAGTATTTGTTCCAGCCCACTACTTTCTTTTCTTCTTGATGAGCTCTAGTTATAGCACGTTGGACCTTCTTTGACTGTCCTCCATTTCGTTGGCTGTCATCTTAGAGGCTTTCTACCCTAACGACCCTTTTACCTTTTTGAAAACTTCATATTTATTTTCACGGGTGTTTTACGGCTTTATTTTGGTGGACCTTATTATATTTTAATTCAAATCTATTTTCCTTTATACACTTCTTTCTCCTATGTTTTGGTCTGGGAATACCTTACTGTCTAATGAGCTTTTTAATGGTTTTAGGTTTTATTAATTTGGTATTTTATCAGGAATTTTTAGTTTTTTCTTCTTTTATAGCACAAAAGTTGAGTAATCTAGCCTGCTATTAATAGAAATAGAAATCTCTACCTGGTTATAGATGGGTTCTTGAAGTTGCCAAGTGTCCTGCCAGAAGTTTGAGGAAAAATATGCAAAAGAGATATGTCATATTTCTTTGATTTGGAGACATTGGGTGGCTATTTAATGCCTTATTTATGATTATAAACTTCAAAACTTTTCCAGAAATTTTGTCTTCTATACCTTATCTCATTCTGTCTCATTTGAGTCTCTGCCCATCTGTGAAGGCCTGAAGCCTTATGTTTATTCAATTGAAGAGTTGATTGTCATGAGAGAAAACTTTCAAATATGCAGATAAATTAACAACCAATTTAGTATGTTTATTGAACACTGTTTGTTTAACTCATTGGGAAGATGAAAGTGACAAAATGTAGGAACAGTTTATGTTCCATGTCTTTCTGAGCTTAGTCTAGAATCCCTTAGTCTGCCTAAAATGGAGTCTAGTCTTTCAGGATAAATCTAGACTAGCCACATAGACTAGAATTGTTTGTTAAGGTATTTGTTCCAAGCATTTGATGAGTTTTTGAAGATCAGTATTTTCTAAACCTTCCTGTATTTAAAAAGGCTTAAAAATAACAAAAAGAAAGTGTGACCTGTAGTCAAGAATTAACTGTATTTGTTCTAAAAATTTTTTTTTTAACTCTTAGGTGAGCAAAGAAAATAACTAAAAATGACAAGTAGAAGACTTGAGGAGTCCATGGGGGCCGTTCAAGTGGGGTTGGTCAAAATGCTGAAAGGATTCCCAAGCAAGGTGTTGCCACCCATGAGTCCAAAGGTGGTTACAAAAGAAGAAGCAAACCGAATGGTAATGTATCGAGGAATTTCTATGTAAAACACTTAATATAGTCTCCTCAGGAGAATGACCATATTCTCAGAACACCTAACAGTATAACATCAATTTAGTTAGAATGGTAGCTTGCTGCAGAGGATAGGTACCTTATAAAGCCTGAAAAATTTTGAAATTGCACACATACTTCAAAGTAGAGACCTGAATTGCTTAAATTAATCACTTGAAGTAAGACCATACAGATAATTAAGGTTTTCTAAACTATTAAGGTAGAACCATGTGAAACTGTGATTTATTATTTCAAAAAAAGTCAAATGGCAGAATTTCATAAGATTCAGCTTAATGTATTACCTATTTATTGGTAAGAGTATTTTTTTTGTATATTTGTAGAACACAGAACATTAAAATATTGACTAAATATTATCTAGGAAAAATCTGCAATTTTTTCTGTTCTTTGACATAAAACATATTTATATCTTTAATGATTGATTTACTCTTTGTTTGTTTGTTTGTTTGTTTGTTTTGAGGCAGAGTCTCACTCTGTTGCCTGGACTAGAGTGCCATGGCGTCAGCCTAGCTCACAGCAACCTCAAACTCCTGGGCTCAAGGGATCCTTCTGCCTCAGCCTCCTGAGTGGCTGAGACTACAGGCATGGGCCACCACGCCCGGCTAATTTTTTCTATATATTTTTAGTTGTCCAGCTAATTGCTTTCTATTTTTAGTAAAGACAGGGTCTCGCTCTTGTTCACGTTAGTCTCGAATTCCTGAGCTCAAAATGTCCTCCTGCCTCGTCCTCCCAGAGTGCTAGGATTACAGGCATGAGCCACCGTGCTCTGCCAGCTTTAATAATTTATGATGGTTTTGTGAAAATTGAATTATGAACCATATGCGATAGAAAATGTTAATAAAAATTTACAGTGCTGGTGATAGTATTCACTACATTTTAAAAACTAATCTCAAGTCACACATCCCAATTAGAAAAATAAAATCAATCATTACTCTCTTTTGTGGTGGTGGTGGTAGTTGGTATGTATGTACTTAAATAAATTTCTGCCTTTTTGCTTTTAAGGCTTCATTATGGTAATTTAAATCATAATATAACTGATACCTCTTAATACTTTATTATTCTCATCCAATTTTCAATCAAAAAGAACTTAAAAACCAAGTTGAAAGTTATATTAGAAATATACCTTCATTTAGATGAATTCCATCACAGAAATAAAATTTGTAGAAAATAAGCATTCTTGATTTCACTGACTTTTGCCCAAAGTAAAATAAATCAGCTAAATTTATATATCCCTGAATGTTTTTAAAAGTCTTAGCATATACTTATTATGTAGCTGCCAATGAGCATAATCTCCTTGCATAAAAAGTAGGCTCTGGAACAATGTGAACATTCTAGAACAGCAGTAAGTAAATAATAGTGATTGGTTCCAGCTAATTAATCTCTCGTTGGGTTAGTTTTATTTAAATAGTAGGTTACTTTTTTTCTCATAACATTAGAAAGTGTTAAAACATTTTATGTTCTTATTTGGATGTGTGACTATGAATGGCTTCTGGATCTGATGATTAGTTTTAGGGCTCTTTCAAAACAAGGCCTAAATGTGCCTTCATAATTTCTAAAATGTTCAAACTCATTCCTAAGTAGTGCAGTCACTCTTCCAAGATCCTTTACATTTTATAAGATTTCTCTTTAATGTAATAGCTTTGTTTGCAGGTTGTAACTTAGTTGAGAAATAGAAGTATTTCAAACTCCTTATCTTTGAAGCCCTTAAATGACTTTACAAACTGAGAGTTTTATGCTCAGTTGCCTCTTTTCAGCATAAATGTTAAGCACTTTGGACATGTTCCTATGTAATTTCTTTACTTTTCCCTCTCAGATTCATTTGTGTGATTCCTTCAAAATCATAAGGAAACAGCAGCCACATGTCATTTTAAATTACTGTGCAAAGACCTCAAAAGTGCATGGGTACTTCTCTTGTATAATTTAGTTATTTTAAATATTTTATAAGGGAACTTAGTGGCATTCTAGAATTATCCTGAAAGTTACAAACACAAATTATTCATTACTAGCACTTATGAAAACATTTTTTCTGTATCACCACTTATGAATCTTTGGCTCTTATTGTTTTAAATTCTAGCTTACACCTTCAGAGTTCCTGAAGGAAATGACCCTTACCACAGAGCAGAGACTGGCAAATACACGTGTCACGTGCCGACCACAGATCGTCGAACTCTTAGATATGGGGGAGACGACACATCAAAAGGTACCTGCTTTCCGTCATACTTGCATGTGTTAGGGACCGACCTTCCACAGCCCCACCAGACAGAAAAGCAGAGACATCGAGGATGCAATCACACAAGAGGAGGTTTATTTTCTGGCTAGCCAGGGTCCAAGTCCCAGAGCACCAATGCAGTGGCCACTCTCGCAGGCAAGGACCCGACCGGAACAACGGCATGCCTTTTATCCCCATGGTGCACAAGCTGCGCACACGCTGATCATGCATGGATCATGCGTTGACCTTTAAAATGATTGGTTGCCCACTATTGCCTTTTGAAATAATTGGCGGGTTGGTTGCCCTCTATTGCCTGATGGGTCAGTCGCCCGTGCTTCAATGACCTCATCCCATAATTCCCCATACAGCGGTGTAGCAAGCAAGCAATGACCAGAAGCAAAAGTTTGCGGTTAGCTCATTGCCCCACCCAAGTAAATTCCCGACAATTGTAAAAATTCCTCTGCCCTTCCTCTGCCCTACAAATTCCGCTGCCCTTCCTCTGCCCTACACATGTAAAGTAGGCCCTGGAAAAATATGAAATTTCTAGAACGATGACAATTAAGTAAAAGTTAGTGCTTCTGGACTAACTAGTCCCTCATCGGGTTTGTTTTACATACTCCATTTCTACCTCTGTTTACCTTAATATCTGTGATTTGGTATGGTGAAAATTAAAATTAGTAAGTGCAAACCTAATTTAAAATAACTTTGACTAACCACACTTCTTTCTTAGCTACTTCTGGATACTAATTGATGTTATTCTTTACAGGTTAGGAGTAATTTTAAGGAATATATTAGCCAAGCCCAATTAAGTTATCTTCTTAGCATAACAAGTAATCTCTCCTTATCTGAGCTGTCCACTAGAAATAAAGAAGGTGGAATTGTTTATTAAAATAGGCATTTGCTGTCTGTTCAGGCTCATTTCCAATAACAGATGTATCCTTTAGTCTCTAAAGAACAGCTATTTTAACATGTTTCTGTATTCTAATGTAAACCATACATTCTTGGATTTAAGAGCATATTATTATAAAAGGTCTTGTTTTCTACTTTTTAATTAACTTCTTGAATTAAATGCATATGGCACGAACCTCTATCAGTTGGACTGCTGGAGATTAGCTTCCTCTCAAAGGGTTCCCTGGCCATTTCGGAGTTATATTCCACATGAGAAATGAGTCCCTGAGGCTTTTTTGCTCTTGCTGCTACATCATTGCCTCTTCTGTCCAGGATCTGCATAAAATGTGCTGTTCTGAGCATTGCTAGCTTTAGTTATTAATTGTTTATTCTCTTCTGAACAACAACTCTCCAAACTTGAGGGGAGGGAACATGGCCTTTTCCAAAGTTAATTCGTCCTAATTAAGGGCAGTTTCCTCTTTTCTTTTTTCTTTTCTCTCCACGCCTCGGAAGCTTATTCTCTTCCAGCTGCACTTCCTTCTTGTTGCCCTTCAAACACTCAGAGACAATTCCCACCCCAAGGACTTTGCTCTTGCTATTCCTTCTCCCTGGAGAGCTATTCTCTCAGATGTTTGCATGACTTGCTTCACATCTCTGCTTAGAAGTCTTCTCCTCAGAAAGGCCTTTCCTTAACTACCCATCTAAAAGAATAAACACCCCCCATTCCTTGTCCTGATTTAGTTGACTTCATAGCCCTGTTCACTGCCTGACCCCATATTATATATTTCTCTATACTTTGTCTATTTTCTTGAGAATGTCAGCTTCATGAGGATAGGGGCTTTGTTGGCTTGTTCACTGCTATATGTTCAACATATAAAAAGAACCTGGCGCATATTGGAAACTCAGTATTTATTCAGTGAAAACATGGTGTTTTTTTAATCTCTTCTAACTGCTTAAATCTTCTCTGCATTCTTAAATACATGCTTTGTGCTCTTTGATTTTTTTCCCATGAAAACAATCTCTGAGCTTATGAAATGATGTGGTTAAGATTTTGATTGCTTCATGGAAATAATTTTCTGGTAAAAATTCTTTATTTGCTATTGTCTTTAAGTGTCCATATATGCAAGGATATGTTTCTGGTCTATTTCATACCCTTAATCAATTTGTTTATCCTTTCCCAAAACATAGTGTCTTAATTACTATTAATATATATTTTAAGTCTTGATATCTAATAAAGAAAGTTACTTTGTTCTTCATTAAAAGTATTTTCTCTATTACTTTTCAGAAGTATCTTGACCATTTAGGTTCTTGGCATTCCCATATAGATTTAGAATCAATTTATTGAGTGGAGAAATTGTTTTTTTCTTTTTTTTTTTTTCATTTCGGCATATTATGGGGGTACAGATTTTAAGATTTCAATAAATGCCCATTTCCCCCCTCCCCCCAAAAGTCTGAGTCTCCATCATGACCATCCCCCAGATGGTGCACATCTCAATTACTGTAGTACCTATGTGTCCACTTAGGTGCTACTCAGTTAATACCAGTTTGCTGGAGAATATATCTGGTGCTTGTTTCTCCATTCTTGGGATACTTCACTTAGTAGTATGGGTTCCAGCTCTAACCAGGAAAATATAAGATGTGCTATATCACCATTGTTTCTTAGAGCTGAATAGTACTCCATGGTATACATATACCACATTTTATTAATCCATTCTTGGATGGATGGGCACTTGGGCTGTTTCCACAGCCTTGCGATTATGAATTGTGCTGCTATAAACATTCGAGTGCAGGTGTCTTTTTTGTAGAGTGTCATTGGATCATTTGGGTAGATACCCAGCAATGGGATTGCTGGATCAAATGGTAGATTCACTTGTATCGCTTTAAGGTATCTCCATATTGCTTTCCACAGAGGTTGAACTAGTTTGCAGTCCCACCAGCAGTGTAGGAGTGTTCCTCTCTCTCCGCAACCACGCCAGCATTTATTGTTTGGAGATTTTTTGATAAAGGCCATTCTCACTGGGGTTAAGTGATATCTCATTGTGGTTTTGATTTGCATTTCCCTGATGATTAGAGATGTTGATCATTTTTTCATATGTTTGTTGGCCATTCTTCTGTCTTCTTTAGAAAAGTTTCTGTTCAAGTCCTTTGCCCACTTTTTAATGGGGTTATTTGATTTTTTCTTTCTGATTTTCGTGAGTTCTAAGTATATTCTAGTTATCAGTCCCTTATCGGATGCATAGGATGCAAAAATTTTCTCCCATTCTGTAGATTGTCTGTTTACTTTCATGACTATTTCTTTGGCTGTGCAGAAGCTTTGTAGTTTGATCATGTCCCATTTATTTATTTTTGTTGCTGCTGTGATTGCCTTTGGGGACTTCTTCATAAACTCTTTGCCCAGGCCGATGTCTAGGAGAGTGTTTCCAACTTTTTCCTCTAGAGTTCTAATAGTTTCATACCTTAGGTTTAAGTCTGTTATCCAGCGTGAGTTGGTTTTTGTGAGAGGTGAAAGGTGTGGGTCCTGTTTTAGCCTTCTACAGGTGGCTATCCAGTTTTCCCAGCACCATTTATTGAAAAGGGATTCTTTTCCCCAGCGTATGTTTTTGTCTGCTTTGTCAAAGATTAGATGGCTATATGAGGATAGTTTTATATCAGGATTCTCACATCTGTTCCACTGGTCCATATTCCTATTTTTGTGCCAATACCATATTGATTTAATTACTACAGCTTTGTAGTATAGTTTGATATCTGGCAAATTAATGCCTCCCATTTTGTTTTTGTTGCCTAGAATTGCTCCTGATATTCAGGGTCTTCTTTGGTTCCATACGAAGTGTAAAATTATTTTTTCTATATCTGTGAAGAATGCTGATGGGATTTTAATAGGTATTGCATTGAATCTGTAGATCAGTTTGGGTAGTATAGACATTTTGATGATATTGAGTCTGCCGATCCACGAGCATGGTATGGATTTCCATCTGTTTACATCCTCTGCTATTTCCTTCCTCAGTGTTTCATAGTTCTCCCTGTAGAGGTCTTTTACGTCCTTGGTTAAGTATATTCCTAGGTACTTTAATTTCTTTGTTGCTACTGTGAAGGGAATTGAGTCTTTGATTTGGTTCTCAATTAGATTGTTATTGGCGTATATGAATGCCTCTGATTTCTGTGTGTTGATTTTGTATCCTGAGACTTTACTAAATTCATTGATCAGTTCCAGGAGTTTCTTGGTTGAATCTTTGGGGTTTTCTAGATACAATATCATATCATCAGCAGTGAAAGTTTGATCTCTTCTCCCCCTATTTGGATACCTTTGATTCCATTTTCCTGTCTGATTGCTGTAGCCAAGACTTCCAGCACTATGTTGAACAGAAGTGGAGATAGTGGGCAGCCTTGTCTGGTGAGATTTTAATTGAGATTGCATTAAATTTATAAAGAAATTTGGGGAAAATTTATATCCTTACAATATTGATTCTTCTAACCCATGGACATGCTCTATCTCTCCATTTCTTGAAGTCTTTTGTAATTTATCTCAGTAAAGTTCTATAGTTTTCCCTACAGAGGATTTTTGCTATCTGCTATTCTGTTTATTCCTTGGATATTTATAATTTATTATAGATTTATTTGGATTGTCTATGCAAAAATCTTATCTGAGAATAATGACATTTTTTTCTTTCCAATCTTAATTTTTTAATTAATATTGTTAAGATAAGCTTTAGGCTTACAGAACAATTTATTGGGAAGTACAATACCCTATTTAACCTAAGTACAATACCCACATACCCTATTCTCCCTTAAACCCCGGTTTCCGACATTAGTACATGAAAGAAAAATGTAGCCCCATTTTCTCTCTTGACTCCATTCACCATCCTAGTTATCTGTTTTCTCCTGGATTCTAGCCAGTAATTCTTTACTATTTTGTTAGTTCTCCATTGCTTCCAAGCAGATACTTATTGATATAGTTTTCCTGGTTATTTTCATAGGGGAGTTGGTTCAAATTACCTCATTCACAATTACTGGAAATGGAAGTCTATTAATATTCTTATTAGCCTATTTTTTAAAAAACTGAGGACCAAAATTTGTATTTTCTTTTATATTAAAGAAGTTGATGACAATAATCTCACTAATTATAACTATTATTTTTTATAATGATTATCTATTTTTGAATGTTTTTCCTGTTCTTAGTTTTAATATCCATAGGTCTATGTAGTATTTTCTCATCTTCCCCAGTCATTTTTGCCACTGTGTGTCTAGATGAATAATTTACTCTTTCAACTGCAGTTTTCATCAGTTGACCTGGATCAGGCATTATTCCAGCCCTTTCCATCAGAAATCATATTTCAGAACTACACTCCATGTGAAGTCTATGAAGTTCCACTGGTTTTGAGGAACACTGACAAAGTAAGTATGGTCCCAGGGTAGATGAACTTTTTCAGGATATATGAGAAGAGGTTAAGTAAAATGGGATCTTGTAAGATCTTAGGTAAGTTCTTTAACTTGATAGACTTAGGAAAATAGTATGAAAACACGCCCTTTGATTGTCAGCTTAATGAAGACAAGGCTATGTCTGTCTGTTGCTGTATGTTCAGTCCTAGTACAGTGCCCAACAAAGAGTGAATTCCCAACATGTGCACTAAATTTTTGTTGACTAAAGGGTTGACTAGATGAATGGCATGCAGTTCTCATGTGTGACAAGTTGGGCTAGGTTTTCTTTTAAGGCAGGGCATCTACTACTGTTTGTGTACTCTTCATTAGGGACACCATTTCCCCAATTCACGATATAAACTCTGCTCATATGAATTGCAGTTGTTGAGCATTTACATTTATATTATGTAATGAATTCATGTTATGCAAATTGTACCTTTAAAAAACCTACTTTTCTAAAAAATGTAGATCCCTTTCCCCCTTTTCTGTTTTCACCTTTCTATATCAGATAGCCTTCAGATTTTGTCTGCAGCTACTTTGGGGAGGCCTCTCTTGCTCTCTATATTTTATCTCTTTGTGACTCCAACTGAGGATTTCTTCTTTAGACTTTTTCTTCAAAGATAAATTAGAGATTTATTTCAAGAAAAGGTATTAAATGCCTGAGGATTTCCTTGACATGTAACAATAATGAAAGAAAGAATAATGCAGAAGGTCCGGATGCAACACACTTAAGTGTGAAAAGTAATCAGATGGGGAGGAAGGTGTCTGAGAGATGCTAAACTTTAGGTGTAAAGACAAGTAGAAATACCTATAGGAGTCTAAGTGTGGAGACAAAGAATTCTAGCTATAAGAAAAAAGAGAGAATAACTGAAGACTATGCAAGAATCCAAAGCAAATGGGAAGACTCACAGTTATATTTGATACAGTAGCTCATTAAAGGAATTAGTGATGCCTTTCACAGATCAATGGGGTGATTTAGAGATAGCAAAGTCAGACTCTGGAGAAAATGGTCTATTTAGTTCTTTGCTACAGTAATGTTAGCAAGAAAAGCTCATGGGACAGAAGCTAAAGGGGTAGACAAAGAAGAAAAAGAACCCGAGGTCCACAGGTTTTTTATGTTCCTAGAGCTCAAGAAGAGGTACATTACATACACATTGGGACTCTGTCTTTTCATGTAGGGCTGCCAACCAGTTCATTTCTCCCTTCCAATTCCCTTTTTGCTTTCTCTTATTTTGACTCTTTCCCAGGTATTTTTTGGCTGTTAAAGGCAGAGACAAGCTAGTCCACAAATGGCCCTTTGGCCACCCCTCCCTGACCCCAAACAAGAAATTATTATCAGTGGGTATATATGAGCAAGTCCAGGGTAAAGGACAAGTGTATGTTTCATCTGCCAGAGGACACTCAGTTCCCACAGATAACACAATCCTCTCGGTAAGTTGCAGCCAGAGTTCTGGCCCTATGAAAAGAAGGTCCCCATCTAGGGAATGTCCAGCTGCCAAACAAGCAGACACCTTTCTTCAGGCCAGGCAGGCTTGTCCTCAGGTGAGTTACTCCAGGACCCTCATGTGAGTTGGCTAATATAAACCTGCTTCTCTGCTCCCTTAGTTCATGGTCTCATAAGGAACCACCAGAAGAGATCTGGGTCACTGAGGAATGATTTCTGTGCCATTCTCCTTTTATTTGCTTCCTCACTGGCATGAATTACAAAAGACAGGGAATGTTTGGTCATTATTATTATTTTTTTGTTTGTTTCTCTCACATACACAGAGTGAGAGTAAGCCATGAACACTCTATAAGGCATAACATGATTCTACTTGGGGTACAATATAAGAACCCAGACTCCAGAGTTAGACTAGTCTGGGTTCAGATTCCAGTGGAGGAATAAGCCTTTAACAGAATGGAATGGTTTGGAGCTGCTGAGGCTGGCCTGGGGGATATCCCACTGGGCTTTCTGTTCTTGCTCCATAGTGTGCTCACTCATTACAATCCCATAGAGGCAGGGTAGAGTCAGGTGGGACTTGACTCCCAGCACCCTTGCCTGGTAGAGCTATGCCACTTTGGGTTGGGAGCTATAATGAAGCTGAAAGGTTACTGTGAGGATGAAGTGGCATGTCATATGCAGTACGTGGCCCATGGAAGGACTGCAGTCAGTGTGGTTTCTTCTCTAGAGCAGTTCTCAGATGTTGGGAAATCCAGCTTACCTCCACTATGCGGGTAGGGTTTTAGCTGATTAAGCAGTTGGCCTTTGAAGATAATCACATTTAAATAATAAAATAAACAAGGACTTGCAATGATAATAAAAATGAGTAACAATAATAATGCTAATAAAAATTAAGGTTAAAATGTATTGAGCGCTTACTTTGTATGGGATAAAGGTAGGTACTATTACCTCCCTTTATAGTTGAGGAAAGTGAAGTTGAGACCTGACCAAGGTCACATGTCTAGTAAGTAGTTGATGGAGATGTCGGTCTGTGTTTAATTCCAAGGCCTATCCTTTTTCTTCTTCTTTTTCATGTGCACAGTGTCCATCATTGTGTGTTTTTCCTGCAGATTCCAAGGATGGTGAAAGTTGTTGAGGAAAGTTCACCGTACTTTAAAGTAATCAGCCCCAAAGATATTGGCCACAAAGTGGCGCCAGGAGTGCCATCGGTATTTCGAATCCTCTTCATGCCAGAGGAGAACAAGGTAATAGCAGCACTGGCTAGAAACTGGTTAAACGCTTGTCACTAGCACTTGTCACTAACAGTTTGCAATTCAATTTTGAACATTCACAGAAGTGTTGATGTTGTTGTTGGTATTGATGTTGTTATTGATGTTGTTGGCATTGGTGGGTGGTGGTGGTATTGTTGTCATTGTTGGTAGTGGTGGTGGTGGTAGTATTGATGTTGGTGGTGGTGGGTGGGTATTGGAATGGTGGTATAGATGGTGGTAGTATTGTCATTGATGATGGTGTAGGTAGTGATGGTGGTGAAATGAGTGTTAAGGGTAGGCGAGAGAAGGGGACAGTACACCTCTGGGAATGAGGAGAAAATTGTCAGACAGTGCTGAGGGCTCATATGAACTATAAGTAGCCATGGTGTAAAGAAGGGTAATCCTGCAGGACATGCCCCACCTGGCCCCTACCCCAGTATGCTCATATTTGTGTATACAGCTAGAGGGACATCAAAAGGAAAAGGTGTAGTCCAGATGCAATGAACTGAGACAAAAGATAAAGATTATGGCTTCTGGGAAGTTTGGGACCATAGCTGGTTACAACTTTCTTCCCCAGATTCTAACTAATTTGGGAAAGAGACCCAAGACCCAGATATTGACCACAGTATCAGCCTCATCAATGGCAGAGAATGTGGCTAGGACCTGAGGCCCAGATGGGGTCTCCTGCTCCCCAATGCCTGGTAGATAACTGGCCCTTGATTAAGGGCCAAAGTAATCTACAGTCCACCTGAGCTCAAGCAAAACAGCTGTTACTGAGAGCAGAGACCTACCCGGTCTGCTTGCCCCCATCTGCACCCAGGCAGGCTAGGCAGAGCCTGGGTTCAGAAGGAAGAGGCCGCCTTCCTCCAGCACCACCATAGCTGTGGGGAATCTAACCCATTGTCAGACTCTCCTCAATTATAGAAATTCTAGTTGCTCCTAGGATGGAAGGAGCATGTAAAGGGGACTAAAGGTGGAGCCTTCTTCCCAGCCATTCTGCAGGGGATAGAATTGTTGGTCACATTTTCTTCTCTTTGGGCCTAAGTGGGGACTTGTCAGAAGGAAGAAAGAGTTTTACCAGCATGATTGAAGCAGCGAGGAGGGAGAACAAGACTTAAATAGGCATAACAAAATGTAGGCTATATATAATGTTAATAGCTTCCGTGCTTATCTGTGCTGCACCATTACGGCTGGAATCAGGAGAGCACCGAGGAGTCAGCCACACTAGCTGTGGGTCCCTGCTTCTCCACCACTAGTACTGACTAGCTGCTGTTAAGGTCATGCCAGTATTCCTGCTACCATTGCTGTTGTTCCTACTTTTCTGGAGAACAGGGATGGAGAATTTAATGTGGTCTGTTAAGCATGTACTCACAGCGAGTGGCCAAAAATTCCATTATGATAATACTGTTATTATTTTGCCACTTTGTAGTATTACTGTTTCTATCTTGGGTTGTGTTTATGGACTTATAATTTTGTTGGAGGTACTACTGAAATAAATAAAAAGATAAATAACTCCAGATGCAGGGATTTTTGTTATGCATTGTTGAATTCCTCATTTTTTTTTTCTGGAGGCTCTGTATCTGAATACTGTTTGTGAAGAGAATGGTACCTGAATTTAGTTTGGGTGTTGGATTCCTACACTGTCATTTCAAAAGCTGATTATAAGCCTTTGTGTTGCTTGAAATACAAAGCCTGCTGGATTAGGGGGTTTTATTTCCTTACTTTTTTTTTCTGTGCTGAACAAAATATGTCTTCTGTTGGATAAGTATTTTTCTACCTGCAGTTAGTCTGGCTGAGAAATGGAAACATGAGGATTTCTAAGGAAATGGAATGTTCTATATTGTGATAGGCATGTGGATTGCATGGATGAATTTGTCAAAATTATACATTTAATATTTGTGCTTATACACACACACAAATTTTACCTAAAAAATCTGTATAATAATAGAGGGGAAGGAGGTGGAGGTGTAGATGAAACCAGAATAGCAGAATGTTAATAATTATTGAATCTGAGTGATGGATATAATAAACCCCTCACATTTTAGGGTTTATTATACTATTCTGTTTTAAACTTTACATAATCAAAAGCTAAAAGAAAAGAAAGAAAGATATTTTATTACAGATTGTCTATACAGTGAATAAATAGTTGAAGTGTATTATAGCTATATTGATATATACTTTGTAAATATGAAATGCTACGTTTCCATTGAGGATAGCTGCCTGGCTACTAGCTCTTTTATTCCCTCTTACCATTCCATTTATCCAACATGGCATGTCTATTGGGAAACTCCTAATTAAAAAAATTAACCAAGTTAAATGTTATTATAATGATCCTTCATCTAAATACATGAAAGTTATCTACATGCCCACATGCATGTATACATGTATGAGGAGACACAGTGAGAATCATGGTTACCAATGAGAAATTTAGCCATCCAGTTTTAGTTACATTACGATTTTATGTCGGACTTGGACTCTAAGCTCTGTATAATTTATAAAATTCATCCTTCTAAAGACATGAGTTGTTTTCTCCGTTTGCTGGCTAAGACTGGTGATGCATATTGGTATCTGCATTCATCCTCACTGTTGGAAAGTCAACAGGGCCATGCAGGAATGACCAGCAAGGGGTAGGGATGCTATTTTCCAGATTGCTCCAGAATGCAGCCAAGGAGTAACTAGAGCCAGATTTATTTTAGGAAAAATAAAAGTCAATCATTTCACTGTGTCATTGTTTCTTCACTTGGGCAAATTGATAGCCAAAGTATACATATTTTCCCCCCCTCTTTATCCCCTGCTGATCTGAGCAGACTCCATTCTCATTTACCCTTCTCACATCTAGAGGGTGAGATATGTAAATTGTAGCATGCCACAGTTAATAAGCCAGTCCTCTTGCAGTTGGATTTTCAGCACCCATGTATATTAGCACATCGAAGATGATAACGCAATTTACATTTTTCCCTGTCATCTATTAATCTGGCTTCCTGGGGATGGAACTTGTTAAGAATGCCAAATACCCAGATAACAGGTGCAGCAAATTCACTTTGGCTTTTCTTATCTCTTTTCACACAGACTTTTAAAAAACTGATTGGAGATGCCATTAATCTAATAATCCGAGTATACATATCATGCACTGTAGAAATATAATAGTCAATGTTATCATTAAATAACACCATAAAATTCTGAAGCCTGACATTTTCCTTGACCTCTTAAATTTGTATCTTTACTATTAAAATGATAATGAAAATTATTAGGCTTTTATGGGAAAGCAAAAGAGGATACTTCCTTGGACTGAAGAAAGCACCTGTTTGCAATAGTATTGTCATACAGAAATGGCAGGAATGCTTAGAAGAAAGTATGAAGTGGTGAAATTAGATTACTGCCTTATGTTTTAAGAAAATTTCTAATTTGTTGTCAAAATGGTCTTCCTAATTGGTTACTTTGAAATTTAAAAATCATAGCCTAAGAAGAATAGAAAATGTGAATATGTTTTATGTTATCTAGTCATACAATATTAATAAACAACAGTGCCAGCATTTTGAATTAAATGGAGGTATCACAAATTTTTCTGCAATCAGTAATTTTTATTGGTAAAAATAATGACCAGGATTTTGTTTTCCTACTGCCTGGAGTTAGCCCTCCCCAGTTTTTGTCTGCGTCACCCCTAGAACCCTGGTGCTTACTTACTACAGTGTCTGACACATAGGAAGTGTACAGTAAATATTTGTTAAGTGAGATAAGTAAGGAGAAATTCATCTCAAGAAAATACAGAGAAGTTTCTTCAAGTTGAAAATGGCCTACAGATGACAAAAGCATATAAAAAGGGCTAAAATATCTTTGTGTCATGAACATATTAGATGTTAACTTTCTTTTTGTCATTTCAAGCAGGAAAAAGACGTCTAAGAAAGGAGTTTCTCTCCATTTTGTTTCATATCTTCAGTGAGTCGCATCACTAATTCTTAGCTTTCTGGACTTGATAAATATAATTTGATAATAAGGCTAATGAAGATCTTAGGAATTCTCTTTGTGAAGAACTTAATAGTTTAGTATCTAAGTAAAGATATTAAAATGAATAATATTCTGTCCCTCACTCATTGCTAGGCCCAGTTCTATGAGCCAGGATCCAGTGGAATAGAACGAGCTTTGACCTTCATGGAGCTTATGCTCCACAATGAGTAAAACAAATACATAATTTAATCTCAGGTATTGACATAATAGAGAATAGAGAGTGATGGTGGCTCTGTTTTATTTCAATACGAGGGTCAGGGAAGATTTCTCCTTTGAGATGACACTGGGCAGAGAACTAATTTAAGCCCTACAAATATCTGAGGAAGAGCTGTCTAGGAAAGGGGACAGCAAGTGCAAAGGCCCAGTGGCAGAAATATGCTCAGCAGCAGGCTCAGGAAAGTACCAGAAAGCCAGCAGGGCTGAACAGTTGAAGCTGCTAGAAAAATAGTAGGAGATGAGCCTGCAGAAGGGGAGCTTATGAAGGATCTTTGAAGCCATGCAAATTTGGATAGGAAGCCATCATGAAATATTTAATGAAATATTTTTATTATGGAAGCTTTCACTCATGTATAAAAGTAGAGAGAACAGCATAGGAACTGTTATCACTCAGCTCTTCAAATTATCAGTACACAACCTGTCTGTATTGATCTATCCTTCCCTTCCCCACCCCTTACAGCATATTATTTCATCTATAAATACTTCATTATTTGTCTCTCTTGAAGTTAGCCTAACCACAGTGCCATTATCACAACTAAAAATGGCAAAAGCTCCTCAATATCTACAGTAGTTTAATTATAGAGCTGTCAGGATCTGCTGATGGGTTGGATGAAGGCTTTGAGAAAGGAATCTAGCTGGACTCGAGATTTTGGCCAGATGGTGGCTCCATTTACTGAGACAGGGAACAGAGGAGGAAAGGCAGGTTTTTGAGGCTTGAGTGGGTACAGTTAGGAATCAGGAGTAAATGAGGATGTAGAATTAACCATTGGCTT